ACACCATGGGACATTGTGGGGACATGGTGGGGATGGAGACATGGGGACAGCATGGGGACATCGTGGGGACATGGTGGGGACATCTTGGGGACACCATGGAGACACCATGGGGACATCATGGGGACATCGTGGTGGGAATGGGGACATGGGGACACCATGGAGACACCATGGGACATCGTGGGGACATCGTGGTGGGAATGGGGACACGGGGACAGGAACTCCTCCTTGGCCGAGAACTTCTGCTTGTACTTGTTGTGGGTGTTGCTGAAGGGCATGGTGGCACTGCGGGGACATGGGACATTGTGGGGACATCGTGGGGACATGGGGACACCATGGGGCATCGTGGGGACATCATGGGGACATTGTGGGGACAGCATGGGGACATGGGGACATCGTGGGGACATTGTGGGGACACCATGAGGACATCATGGGGACATCATGGGGACATGGAGACACCATGGGGATATGGTGGGGACATGGTGGGGACATGGGGACATTGTGGGGACATCTTGGGGACAGCATGGGGACATTGGAACACCGTGGACACAGGGACATGGGGACACCGTGGGGACATGGGGACATCATGGGGACATGGGGACATGGTGGGGACATCTTGGGGACACCATGGAGACACCATGGGGACATGGTGGGGACATGGTGGGGACATGGGGACACCATGGGGACATTGGAACACCATGGACACGGGGACATGGGGACACCGTGGGGACATCATGGGGACACAGGGGGACACAGGGAGATTGTGGGGACATGGGGACACCGTGGGGAGATGGGGACATCATGGGGACACCATGGGGACATGGTGGGGACATGGGGACATCGGGGGACATGTTGGGGACACTATGGGGACACTGTGAGGACATGGGGACATCGGGGGACATGGTGACACAGGGGACATCGTGGGGACACCATGGGGACACTGTGAGGACACGGGGACATGGTGGCACTGTGGGGACACGGGGACAGCCAGGTGACACCAGGGGACACCGTGGGGACATGGTGGGAATGGAGACATGGGGACACCATGGGGACATGGGGACATTGTGGGGACATGGTGGGGACATCGGGGGACATGGTGGGGACACCATGGGGACATGGGGATATTGGGGGACATGGTGACACAGGGGACATCATGGGGACACCATGGGGACACTGTGAGGACACGGGGACATGGTGGCACTGTGGGGACACGGGGACAGCCAGGTGACACCAAGTGACACCAGTGACGGGGGGGGGGGGGGGGGGCGGGGGGGGGGGCACACGACTCTGGGGCGTGTCCTGGTGGGCGTGTCCTTGAAGGGGCGTGTCCCTCAGGGGGCGTGTCCTTAAAGGGGCGTGTCCCTCAGGGGGCGTGTCCCTCAGGGGGCGTGTCCCTCAGGGGGCGTGGCCGCCCCGCTCCGTTCCTTGTTCGGGTCGGGGCTATTTATAGCCGGGGGGGGAGGGGCGGGGGGGCGTCCCGGTGACACCGGGGGGGGTCGGGACCCGGTCCGGGACCCAAATCCCGGTCCCGGACCCAAATCCCGGTCCCGGTCCCAAATCCCGGTCCCGGTCCCAAATCCCGGTCCCGGTCCCAAATCCCGGTCCCGAATCCCGGTCCCGAATCCCGGACCCAAATCCCGGTCCCGAATACCGGTCCCGGACCCAAATCCCGGTCCCGAATCCCGGTCCCGGACCCAAATCCCGGTCCCGATCCCGGTCCCGGACCCCAATTCCGGACCCCAATCCCGGTCCCGAATCCCGGTCCCGGTCCCAAATTCCGGTCCCGGTCCGGGTCCCAGTCACGATCCCAAATCCCGGTCCCGGTGACAACGGGGGAGTCGGGACCCGGTCCCGGTCCCGGACCCCAATCCCGGTCCCGACTCCCGGACCCGGTCCCGGTTCCGGTGACACCGGTGGGGGAGTCGGGACCCGGTCCCGGTCCCGGTCCCAAATCCCGGTCCTGGACCCAAATCCCGGTCCCGAATCCCGGTCCCAACTCCCGGACCCAAATCCCGGTCCCAAATCCCGGCCCCGGATCCAAATCCCGGTTCCGGTGACACCGGGGGGGTTCGGGACCCGGTCCCGGTCCTAAATACCGGTCCTGAATCCCGATCCCAAATCCCGGTCCCGAATCCCGGTCCCGGACCCGGTCCCGAACCCCAATCCCGGTCCCGAATCCCGGTCCCGACTCCCGGACCCGGTCCCGGTTCCGGTGACACCGGTGGGGGGGGTCCGGTCCCGGTCCCGAATCCCGGTCCCGGTCCCGGTCCCAAATCCCGGTCCCGGACCCCAATCCCGGTCCCGAATCCCGGACCCGGTCCCGGTTCCGGTGACACCGGGGGGGAGTCGGGACCCGGTCCCGGACCCAAATCCCGATCCCAAATCCCGGTCCCGAATCCCGGTCCCGAATCCCGGTCCCGGACCCAAATCCCGGTCCCAAATCCCGGTCCTGGACCCAAATCCCGGTCCCGACTCCCGGTCCCGGTCCCGGTTCCGGTGACACCGGGGGGGAGTCGGGACCCGGTCCCGGTCCCGGTCCCAAATCCCGGTCCCGGACCCCAATCCCGGTCCCAAATCCCGGTCCCGGTGACACCGGGGGGGCGGTTCGGGACCCTGTCCCAGTCCCGGTCCCAAATCCCGGTCCCGGTGACCCCCGGCGGTGTCCCGACCCTTCCTGAGGGTCCCGGTCCCGCCTGGGGGTCCCGGGGGGGTTCCCGGGGGGGTCCCGGTTGTCCCGGGGGGGTCCCGGTGGTCCCGGGGGGGTCCCGGGGGGGTTCCCCGGGGGGGTCCCGGTGGTCCCGGGGGGGGGTTCCGGTGGTCCCGGTGGTCCCGGTGGTCCCGGGGGGGGGTCCCGGGGGGTCCCGGTGGTCCCGGGGGTCCCGGGGGGTTCCCGGGGGGGGTTCCGGTGGTCCCGGTGGGGGTCCCGGGGGGGTCCCGGGGGGGTCCCGGTGGTCCCGGGGGGTCCCGGGGGGGGTCCCGGCCGTACCTGTTCAGTCTCAGCGGGGCCGGGTCGGGTCGGGGTCGGGCCGGTACCGGGCGCGGGGGGGAACGGTGGGACCGGGACCCCCCAGGGGCGCTTTTATCCCCCCCGGGACCCCCCCCAGGCCCGGGGGGCTCCGGGGGGACCCCAAACCGGGCGGGGCCGGGCCCTGGCGGGGCCGCCCCCGGCCCGCGGGAGACCCTCGGGGACCCCCGGAGCCGCCCCCCGGTGTCCGGTGTCACCGGGAGGGGGGGGGAGGGGATGGGGGGGGGGGCACGCGGCACCTGCCGCCCCCCGGGGCCGCGGGGAGGGGGCGGGACCACCCCCGAAATAACGGGACCACCCCCGAAATAACGGGACCACCCCCGAAATAACGGGACCACCCCCCGAATAACGGGACCACCCCCCGAATAACGGGACCCCCTCAAATACCGGGACCCCTTTAAATACCGGGACCCCCCCAAAATAACGGGACCACCCCCCCATATACCGGGACCACCCCCAAAATAACGGGACCCCTTTAAATAACGGGACCCCCCCCAAAATACCGGGACCCCCCCAAAAAAACGGGACCCCCCCCCAAATACCGGGACCATCCCCCAAATTAACGGGACCACCCCCCGAATAACGGGACCCCTTTAAATAACGGGACCCCCCCCAAATTAACGGGACCCCTTTAAATACCGGGACCCCCCCAAATTAACGGGACCCCCCCCCAAATACCGGGACCCCCCCTAAATTAAAGGGACCCCCCTCAAATACCGGGACCCCTTTAAATAACGGGACCCCCCCACAAAATAACGGGACCCCTTTAAATACCGGGACCCCCCCCAAAATAACGGGACCCCCGCAAATTAACGGGACCCACCCCCAAAATAACGGGACCACCCCCAAAATACCGGGACCCCCCCCCAAATACCGGGACCACCCCCAAAATAACGGGACCCCCCCCCAAAAAAACGGGACCCCTCCCAAATACCCCGGAATTAACGGCGGGGGGGGGTCAGAAAACCCCAAAATTTAATTGGGGGGGGGTCAGAAAACCCCAAAATTTAATTGGGGGGGGTCAGAAAAATCAGAAAACCCCAAAATTTAATTGGGGGGGGTCAAAAACCCCAAAATTTAATTGGGGGGGGGTCAAAAACCCTAAAATTTAATTGGGGGGGGGGTCAGAAAACCCCAAAATTTAATGAGGGGGGGGTTGGGTCGGAATTGAGGGGGGGGGAACCCCCAAAATGTAATTTGGGGGGGGGTCGGGGGGGATCCGCTGGCTCAGGGCAGTTCCCGGGGGGGGGGGGGGGCCCCCCCAGCCCCGCCCCTCCCCCTTTCCCCCCCCCCCCCCCCCCCCCGGTATTTTTAGGTCGGCTCCGGTTTCCGGGGGGGGGATCCGGTGTCAAATTTTGGGGGGGGGGGTGGGGGAGGGGCACGGGAGGGACGAGGGGGGAGGGAACCCCAAAAACGCCCCTCCCCCAAAAATATCCGGGGGGGTGGGGGGGGGAGGGAAACTGAGGCACGGAACGACCCCAAAAATTAATTAAAATATTAACCCTCCCCCCCCCCCAAATAAATCCCCCAAAAATGTCTGGGGGGGGGGTGTGACACCCCCAAATTTTGGGATGGGGGAGGGGATTTTGGGGGAGGGGGCGGGGTTTAAAAAGGGGGCGGAGCCGTGGGGGGAGGGGAAATCGGATTTTATTGGGGGGGGGTGACAAAAATGGGGGATGGGGGGGGGAGGGGGGAGTGGATCCCGCTGGGATCCCTGGGGGGGATCCAGTTCCTCCTCCAGCTGTTTTGGGGGGGTCTGGGGGGGTCCAGATCTCCTCCCCCAGAGGGATCCGGTCCTGATTTGGCATTTTTGGGGATCCAGTCCCTCCTCCAGCTGTTTTTGGGGGGGTCCAGATCCCACTGGGGGGCTCCAGATCCCCTCCCCCAGAGGGATCCGGTCCCGATTTGGCATTTTTCGGGGTCCAGATCCCGCTGGGATCCCTGGGTGGGATCAATTTCCTCTTCCACCTGTTTTGGGGGGGGGTCCAGATCCCGCTGGGATCCCTGGGGGGGATCCAGTCCCTCCTCCAGCTGTTTTTGGGGGGTCCAGATCCCCTCCCCCAAGGGGATCCAGTCCCGATTTGGCATTTTTGGGATCCAGTCCCTCCTGCAGCTGTTTGGGGCTCTCCGGATCCCTTCAGATCCCTCGGGCGGATCCCGGGGGGCTCCGGGGGTCTCTCAGAGCTGCTGGGGGATCTCCTGGATCCGCTGCTGCGCCTCCGGGGTCCGGAGCTGCTCCAGCGTCAGCAGCGACAGCCCCAACTGCTCCTCCTGCGGGGGATCCATAGGGATCCACTGGATCCGGGGGGGTTTGGGGGGGATCCCCGGGGGGTTGGGGGCACCCTGGAGGGTCTGGGGGGGGATCCAGGGGGTTTGGGGGGGATCCCAGGGAGATCTGGTGGAATTTGGGGGGGATCCGGGGGGTGTTTGGGGGCGATCCCGGGGGGAATTTGGGGGGATTTGGGGGGATCTGGGGCACCCTGGAGGGTCTGGGGGGGATCTGGGGGGATCCAGGGAGGGTTTGGGGGGATCTGGGGCACCCTGGGGGGATCTGGGGGGGATCCAGGGGGTGTTTGGGAGGGGATCCTGGGGGGATCTGATGGAATTTGGGGGGATCTGATGGAATTTGGGGGGATCCAGGGGGGTCTGGGAAGGATCTGGGGGGTGTTTTGGGGGGATCTGGTATAATTTGGGGGGATCTGGGGGAATTTGGGGCACCCTGGAGGGTCTGGGGGGATCTGGGGGGTATTTGGGGGTTTCTGGGGGCTCAGGGGGGGTTGTCTGTGATGGGATCCCCTGGATCAATCGGGATTGGCCAGGATTGATCAGGATCGGGTCAGATCGATCGGGATTGGCCGGGATCAATCGGGATCGGTCGGGATTGATAGGGATCCGGTGGATCCCTACCTGCCAGAAGGGCTGGGGGCGGTTTTGGGGCTCAGGGTGGGGGTGGGTGTGACTGGATTGGTTTGGATCAATCGTGATCGATCATGATCGATCGTGATCGATCGTGATCGATCTGGATTGATGGGGGTCCAGTGGATCCCTACCTGGCGGAAGGGCTGGGGGCGGTTTTGGGGCTCAGGGTGGGGGTGGGTGTGACCGGATTGGTTCGGATCAATCGGGATTGATCGGGATCGGGTCGGATCGATTGGGATTGGCCGGGATCGATCAGGATCAATCGGGATCAATGGGGATCAATGGGGATCGAGTGGATCCCTACCTGTCGGAAGGGCTGGGCCATCTGGCGCAGGAAGCGCTTCGCCGCCTGCACGGCCTCGTCCACCGTCAGGTTCAGGTGGGCCTCGGGGAGCCGCTCCTGCAGCCACCGGGGCAGCTTGGAGCGCTTGTCCAGGCGGGCAAAACGCTGCGGAAACGGGGAAAAAACACGCAGAAATGGGAAAAATGGGGAAAAAATGGGGAAAAACGGCGAAAAAATGGGGAAAAACGGGGAAAAAATGGGGAAAAACGGGCAAAAAATGGGGAAAATGGAAACGGAAAACGGCTCCTGCAGCCACCGGGGCAGCTTGGAGCGCTTGTCCAGGCGGGCAAAACGCTGCGGGAACGGGGCAAAAACGGTCAAAAATGGGAAAAACGGGAAAAAACAGTGAAAAAACGGTGAAAAACGGTGAAAAAACCATGAAAAACGGGCAAAAAATGGGGAAAATGGCAATGGAAAATGGCTCCTGCAGCCACCGCGGCAGCTTGGAGCGCTTGTCCAGGCGGGCAAAACGCTGCGGAAACGGGGCAAAAACAGTGAAAAATGGGAAAAACGGGGAAAACCATGAAAAACGGCGAAAAAATGGGGAAAAAAATGGGGAAAAAACGGTGAAAAACTGGTTAAAAACGGGGAAAAAATGGGGAAAAAATGGGGAAAAGCAGTGAAAAAATGGAGGAAAATGGGGAAAAGGAGGGGAAAAATGGGGGGAAATTGGGAAAAAATGGGGATAAAAAGTGGAAAAATGGGGGAAAATGGGAGGAAATGGGGGAAAACAGTGAAAAAATGGGGAAAATATGGAAAAAACAGGGAAAAACTGCACCGCACCAAACTGACCACAAAAGCCCCAAAGTGACCCAAAGTGACCCAAAGTGACCCAAATTTACCCCAAACTGACCCAAAGTGGCCCAAACTGACCCACAGTGGCCCAAACTGACTCAAATTTACCCCAAACTGACCCAAAGTGACCCAAATTTACCCCAAACTGACCCAAAGTGACCCAAATTTACCCCAAAGTGACCCAAATTTACCCCAAAGTGACCCAAAGTGACCCAAATTTACCCCAAACTGACCCAAAGTGACCCAAATTTACCCCAAACTGACCCAAAGTGACCCAAATTTACCCCAAACTGACCCAAATTTACCCCAAAGTGACCCAAATTTACCCCAAACTGACCCAAATTTACCCCAAACTGACCCAAATTTACCCCAAACTGACCCAAATTTACCCCAAAGTGACCCAAAGTGACCCAAAATGACCCAAACTGACCCAAATTTACCCCAAACTGACCCAAAGTGACCCAAACTGACCCAAAATCCCCCAAATTCACCCCAAACGCACCTTGTCAGCGAACACCATGAGCCCATAATCCGTTTTTCCCCTCAGGGCTCTCCCCACGCACTGCGCCGCCCAAACTGACCCAAAGTGACCCAAACTGACCCAAAGTGACCCAAATTTACCCCAAACTGACCCAAAGTGACCCAAAATTCCCCAAATTCAGCCCAAACGCACCTTGTCAGCGAACACCATGAGCCCGTAGTCGGTTTTGCCCCGCAGGGCTCTCCCCACGCACTGCGCCGCCCCAAACTGACCCAAACTGACCCAAACTGCCCCAAACTGACCCAAATTTACCCCAAACTGACCCAAAGTGACCCAAACTGACCCAAGTGACCCAAAATCCCCCAAATTCACCCCAAATCCACCTTGTCAGCGAACACCATGAGCCCATAGTCGGTTTTTCCGCGCAGGGCTCTCCCCACGCACTGCGCCGCCCCAAACTGACCCAAACTGACCCAAATTCACCCCAAACGGACCCAAAGTGACCCAAAGTGACCCAAAATCCCCCAAATTTACCCCAAACGCACCTTGTCAGCGAACACCATGAGCCCGTAGTCGGTTTTTCCCCGCAGGGCTCTCCCCACGCACTGCGCCGCCCCAAACTGACCCAAAGTGACCCAAAGTGACCCAAACTGACCCAAAGTGACCCAAAGTGACCCAAATTTACCCCAAACTGATCCAAAGTGGCCCAAACTGACCCAAATTTACCCCAAACTGACCCAAATTTACCCCAAACTGACCCAAAGTGACCCAAAGTGACCCAAATTTACCCCAAAGTGACCCAAAGTGGCCCAAATTTACCCCAAACTGACCCAAAGTGACCCAAATTTACCCCAAACTGACCCAAACTGACCCAAACTGACCCAAACTGACCCAAAACCCCCCAAATTCAGCCCAAACGCACCTTGTCAGCGAACACCATGAGCCCGTAGTCGGTTTTGCCGCGCAGGGCTCTCCCCACGCACTGCGCCGCGTGCCGCATGGCGTCGAAGGTCAGGAACTCCCCCTCGCGCACCTGGAGCTGCTCCCGCAGGAATTCCAGACGGGCCTGGGGGTGACAGGGCTGAGGCACCCCCAAAAATCCCAAAAACCTCCCCAGGTACCGCAAAAACCTCCTCAGGTACCCCAAAAACCTCCCCAGGTACCCCAAAAACCCCCTCAGGCATCCCAAAATCCCCTTCTGGTACCCCAAAAAATCCCCCAGGTGAGCACAGGTAACCCCAGGTACCCCAAAAACCTCCTCAGGGATCCCAAAAACCCCCTCAGGTATCCCAAAAACCTCCTCAGGTACCCCAAAAACCTCCTCAGGGATCCCAAAAACCCCCTCAGGTACCCCAAAAACCCCCTCAGGTATCCCAAAAACCCCCTCAGGTACCCCAAAAACCTCCTCAGGTACCCCAAAATCCTCCCCAGGTATCCTAAAAACCCCCTCAGGTACCCCAAAAACCCCCTCAGGTATCCCAAAAATCCCCCCCAGGTGTGCACCACATAAATCCTAAAAAACCCCAAAATCCTCCTAAAAAACCCAAAATCCTCCTAAAAAACCCAAAATCCCCCTAAAAACCCCCAAAATCCCCCCTAAAAAAAAACCAAAATCCCCTCTAAAAACCCCCAAAATCCTCCTAAAAAAAACCCAAATCCCCCCCTAAAAAACCCAAAATCCCCCTAAAACCCCCCAAAATCCCTTGATTTCCCCCCCAGGTGACCCCGGGTGGATTTTGGGGAGCCCGGGGTGGATTTTGGGGTGGATTATGGGGTGGATTTTGGGGTGGATTATGGGGTGGATTTTGGGGTGGATTTTGGGGACCCCGGGGTGGATTTTGGGGTGGATTTTGGGGACCCCGGGTGGATTTTTGGGTGGATTTTGGGGTGGATTTTGGGGTGGATTTTGGGGTGGATTTTGGGGACCCCGGGTGGATTTTGGGGTGGATTTTGGGGTGGATTTTGGGGAGGATTTTGGGGACCCCGGGGTGGATTTTGGGGTGGATTTTGGGGAGCCCAGGGTGGATTTTGGGGTGGATTTTGGGGACCCCGGGTGGATTTTGGGGTGGATTTTGGGGTGGATTTTGGGGTGGATTTTGGGGTGGATTTTGGGGACCCCGGGGTGGATTTTGGGGTGGATTTTGGGGTGGATTTTGGGGACCCCGGGTGGATTTTGGGGGGGATTTTGGGGTGGATTTTGGGGTGGATTTTGGGGACCCCTGGTGGATTTTGGGGTGGATTTTGGGGTGGATTTTGGGGTGGATTTTGGGGTGGATTTTGGGGACCCCGGGTGGATTTTGGGGTGGATTTTAGGGACCCCGGGTGGATTTTGGGGTGGATTTTGGGGACCCCGGGGTGGATTTTGGGGTGGATTTTGGGGTGGATTTTGGGGTGGATTTTGGGGTGGATTTTGGGGACCCCAGGGTGGATTTTGGGGTGGATTTTGGGGTGGATTTTGGGGACCCCAGGTTGGATTTTGGGGTGGATTTTGGGGTAGATTTTGGGGTGGATTTTGGGGACCCCGGGGTGGATTTTGGGTGGATTTTGGGGTGGATTTTGGGGTGGATTTTGGGGTGGATTTTGGGTGGATTTTGGGGTGGATTTTGGGGACCCCGGGTGGATTTTGGGGTGGATTTTGGGGTGGATTTTGGGGACCCCTCACCTTGAGGACGCGGCTCTGGGTGTAAACGTAGGGGACCCCGAACATGATCACGGCCCGACCGTAGTGATGGACTGGGGGGGAAATTTGGGGGGTCAGGGACCCCAAAAGTGACCAAAAACCCCCAAATCCTGGCAAACACCCAAAAATACCAAAATTCCCTTCAAATTCCCTCAAAAAACCCCCAAATTCCCGTCAAATATAAAAAAAAAAACCCCAAATTCCCATCAAATATTCCAAAATTCCCATCAAATAGCTCAAAACTACCAAAATTCCCTTCAAATTCCCCCCCCAAAAAAACCCAAATTCCCATCAAATATCAAAAAAACCCCCAAAATTCCCATCAACTATCCTAAAAAATCCCCAAATTCCCATCAAATATCCCAAAAAATCCCAAAATTCCCATCAAAACCCCCAAAATTTCCATAAAATATCCAAAAAAATATCCCAAAATTCCCATCAAATACCCCACAATTTCCATAAAATATATATAAAAAAAAATCCCCAAATTCCCCTCAAATATCCCCAAAAAAACCCCAAAATTCCCATCAAATACCCCAAAACTTCCGTAAAACATCCTAAAAAATCCCAAAATTCCCATCCAATATCCCAAAAAATCCCCAAATTCCCATCAAATACCCCAAAATTCCCATCAAATATCCCAAAAAATCCCGAAATCTCCCTCAAATCCCCCCAAAAACCCCAAAATTCTCCTCAAACCCCCCAAAAATCCCCAAATTTCACCTCAAACCCCCCCAAAAACCCCCAAATTCCCCTCAAAGCCCACCCTGAACCCCTCCAAAACCCCAAAATTCCCCAAAATTCCCCAAAATTCCCCAAATCTCACCGAAATCGATGCCCTCGGAGACTTTCCCGCGCGCCACCGAGAGCAGCACCGCCCCGCGGCCGTTCTCGCACGCCTGCGGGGTTTGGGGGGACCCCGGGCTGGACCCCAAAATTCCACCCGGGAACCCCAAAATTCCACCCGGGAACCCCAAAATTCCACCCGGGAACCCCAAAATTCCACCCGGGAACCCCCCAAAATCCAAAATTCCATCCAGGAACCCCAAAAATTATATCCGGGAACCCCAAAATTCCACCCGGGAACCCCAAAATTCCACCCGGGCTGGACCCCGAAATTCCACCCGGGAACCCCAAAATTCCACCCGGGAACCCCAAAATTCCACCCGGGAACCCCAAAATCCCACCCGGGAACCCCAAAATTCCATCCGGGAACCCCAAAATTCCATCCGGGAACCCCAAAATTCCACCCGGGAACCCCAAAATTCCACCCCAGGAACCCCAAAATTCCATCCGGGAACCCCAAAATTCCACCCGGGAACCCCCAAAATTCCACCCCGGGAATCCCAAAATTCCACCCGGGAACCCCAAAATCCCACCCGGGAACCCCAAAATTCCATCCAGGACCCCAAAATTCCACCCGGGAACCCCAAAATTCCATCCAGGACCCCAAAATCCCCCCCGGGAACCCCGAAATTCCACCCCGGGAACCCCAAAATTCCACCCGGGAACCCCAAAATTCCACCCGGGAACCCCAAAATTCCACCTGGAAACCCCAAAATTCCCCCCTGGAACCCCAAGATTCCATCCAGGAACCCCCAAAATTCCATCCGGGAACCCCAAAATTCCCCAGAATCCCAAAATTCCCCAGAATCTGAAAATTCCATCCGGGAACCCCAAAATTCCCCCCCGGGAACCCCAAAATTCCCCCCCCAGGATCCAAAATTTCACCCCAATTCCCCTCCAAGGATCCCCCAAAATTCCACCCCAGGAACCCCAAAATTCCACCCGGGAACCCCAAAGTTCCATCCGGGAACCCCAAAATTCCACCCGGGAACCCCAAAATTCCACCCGGGAACCCCAAAATTCCACCCCGGGAACACCAAAATTCCATCCAGGAACCCCAAAATCCACCCCAGGAACCCCAAAATTCCCCACAGGAACCCCCAAAATTCCATCCAGGACCCCAAAAATCCCTCCAGGAACCCCCAAAACTCCATCCAGGACCCCCAAATCACCCCGAAATCCCCCCAGGACCCCCCAAATCTGCCCTGAAACTCCTCAAGACTCCAAAATTCCAACCGGGATCCCCCCAAATTCTCCCCCAGGACCCCCAAAGCCCCCCCGGGACCCCCAAAACTCCATCCAGGACCCCCAAAACTCCCCCAAATTCTCCCCCAGGACCCCCAAAACCCCCCCGGGACCCCCAAATCTCCATCCAGGACCCCCAAAACTCCCCAAAAACCCCCCCGGGACCCCCAAAACCCCCCCGGGACCCCCAAACTCCATCCAGGACCCCCAAAACTCCCCCAAATTCTCCCCCAGGACCCCCAAACCCCCCCTGGGACCCCCAAAACTCCATCCAGGACCCCCCAAATCCCCCGAAATCCCCCCAAAATCCCCCCAGCACCTCCTGGTACTTCTCCAGGGCCACGCTGGTCTCAGCCCCGTCCTGGGTCTCGATGAAGAGGAGTTTGTTCCTCTGGATGTTCTCCAGGATGCCCTGGAGGGAATTTTGGGGGGATTTTTGGGAATTTTGGGGGGATTTGGGGGATTTTGGGGGGATTTGGGGTATTTTTGGGGGTCTCAGGGGCGGTTTTGGGGTGGATTTTTGGGGTCTCAGGGGGGTTTTTGGGGGTTCTGGGTCTCGATGAAGAGGAGTTTGTTCCTCTGGATGTTCTCCAGGATGCTCTGGAGGTGATTTTGGGGAATTTTGGGGGGATTTGGGGGATTTTGGGGGTCCTGGGGTGGGTTTGGGGTGGTTATTTGGGGTTCTGGGGGGGTTTTGGGGTGGATTTTTGGGGTCTCAGCCCCGTCCTGGGTCTCGATGAAGAGGAGTTTGTTCCTCTGGATGTTCTCCAGGATGCCCTGGGGGAGATTTTGGGGGGATTTTGGGGAATTTTGGGGGGATTTGGGGGATTTTGGGGCAATTTTGGGGGTCTCAGGGGCAGTTTTGGGGTATTTTTGGGGGTCTCAAGGGGGGTTTTTGGGGCAGTTTTGGGGTATTTTTAGGGGGATTTTCGGGGTATTTTGCATATTTTTGGGGCAATTTTGGATTTTATTTCGGGGGGATTTTGGGAATATTTTTGGAGGGACTTTTGGGGGTATTTTGGGTTTTTTATTGAGGGATTTTAGGGCAGTTTTGTGGGGATTTTGGGGGTGTTTTTGTGGGGTATTTTATTGTATTTTTGGGGGTATTTTTTGAGGATTTTGGGGGTACTTTTGTGGTAATTTGGGGGGTATTTTTTTGTATTTTTGGGGGTAATTTTGGGGTGATTTGGGGGTGTTTTTGGGGGGGGGTTTGGGGCAGTTTTGGGGAATTTTTCAGGAGATTTTGAGGAATTTTTTGGAGTATTTTTGGGGGTATTTTTGGGGCGATTTTTGGTTATATTTTTGGGTGTTTTGTCGGCTTTTTTGGGGGTATTTTTGGGGTGATTTGAGGGTATTTTTTAAGGTATTTTTGGGGTGATTTTGGGGGGATTTTTGGGGGCAATTTGGGATATTTTTGGGGTGATTTGAGGCTATTTTTGGGGCAATTATTGGTTATGTTTTTGGGTATTTCAGGGGTGATTTGGGGGTATTTTTTAAGGTATTTTTTGAGTATTTTAGGGGTGATTTTGTGGGGGAATTTGGGGTATTTTGGGGGGGAATTTGGGGTATTTTTGGGACGATTCGGGGGTATTTTTGGGGCAGTTTTTGGCTATGTTTTTGGGTGTTTTTGGGGCGTTTTTGGGGTGTTTTTGGGGTCCCACCTGCTCGTACCACGAGGCCACGGTGCTCTCCAGGTAAACGTAACTGGTGAAAAACGCCACGAGGCCGTCGGGGACCACGGCCGAGAGCTCCAGGAGCAGCTGCCCGTAATTCCGGGTCACCGCTGGAATTTGGGGGAATTTTGGGGGAGATTTGGGCTTATTTGGGACCTCAAAAATCCCAACATTTCAAAAATCCCAAAAATCCCCCCAGAAATCCCTCAAAAATACCCAAAAAACCCCTAAAAATCCCCCCAAAATCCGTCCCCAGAGCTCCAGGAGCAGCTGCCCCTAATTCCGGGTCACCGCTGGATTTTGGGGGGATTTGGGGGGAAATTTGGGCTTATTTGGGACCCCAAAAATCCCAACATTTCAAAAATCCCAAAAATCCCCCCGGAAATCCCTCAAAAATACCCAAAAATCCCCCCAAAATCCCCCCCCCAGAGCTCCAGGAGCAGCTGCCCGTAATTCCGGGTCACTGCTGGATTTCGGGGGGAATTTGGGGTTATTTGGGACCTCAAAAATCCCAAAATTTCAAAAATCCCAAAAATCCCCCCAGAAATCCCTCAAAAATACCCAAAATCCCCCTAAAATCCCTCCCCAGAGCTCCAGGAGCAGCTGCCCGTAATTCCGGGTCACCGCTGGATTTTGGGGGAGATTTGGGCTTATTTGGGACCTCAAAAATCCCAACATTTCAAAAATCCCAAAAATCCCCCCAGAAATCCCTCAAAAATACCCCAAATCACCCAAAAATTCCCCCAAAATCCCTCCCCAGAGCTCCAGGAGCAGCTGCCCTTAATTTTGGGCCACCGCTGGATTTCGGGGGGAATTTGGGGTTATTTGGGTCCCCAAAAATCCCAACATTTCAAAAATCCCAAAAATCCCCCCAAAATCCCTCAAAAAACTCAAAAATTCCCCCAAAATCCCTCCCCAGAGCTCCAGGAGCAGCTGCCCCTAATTCCAGGTCACCGCTGGATTTTGGGGGGGAATTTGGGGTTATTGGGACCCCCAAAAAAACTCCAAAACTGCCAAAAATCCCAGAAATCTGAAAGACCCCAAAATTCCCTCAAAAAAACCCAAAAAAACCCCCAAAATCCCCAAATTTCCCCCAGCCCCAATGATGTCCTCGCAGATATCAAATTTGGAGATCATGATCACCCCAAAACCTCCAAAATTCCCCCAAAATCCCCCCAAAAACCCCAAAATCCCTCTGAGACCCCTCCCCAAAATCCCCCAGACCCCAAAAACCCCAAATTTCTCCAAAAAACCCCAAATTTCCCCCAAAAAATCCCCACCAATGTCCTCGCGGGTCTCGAATTTGGAGCTCATGGCCACTTGGTCGTTGCCTCTTCCCACGATCTGGGGGGGGGGGAAAAAAGGGGGGGGACCCCCAAAAAATTCCACCAGGACCCCCCAAAAAAATCCCTCCAGGACCCCCCAAAAAATCCCACCAGGACCCCCCAAAAAATCCCACCAGGGCCCCCCAAAAAATCCCACCAGGACCCCCCAAAAATCTCTCAGGACCCCCCCCAAAAATCCCACCAGGACCCCCCAAAATCCCACCAGGACCCCCCCAAAAAATCCCACCAGGACCCCCCCAAACCCCCTCCAAATTCCCCCAAATCCCCCCCAGGACCCCCCAGATCCCCCCCAGGACCCCCCAAATCCCCCCCAGGACCCCCAAATCCCCCCAGGACCCCCCAAATCCCCCCCAAATAACCCCAAAATCCCCCCCAGAACCCCAAAATCCCCCCCAGGACCCCCCAGATTCCCCCCAGGACCCCCCAAATCCCCCACAAATAACCACAAATCCCCCCCAGGACCCCCCAAACCCCACCCAAATCCCCCCAGGACCCCCAAAATCCCCCCAAATCTCCCCCAGGACCCCCAAATCCCCCCCAGGACCCCCAAAATCCCCCCCAGGACCCCCAAATCCCTTCAGGACTCCTAAAGCCCCCCCAAGACCCCCCAAATCCCCCCCAGGAACCCCCAGATCCCCCCAAGGACCCCCAAACCCCCCCCCCAGGACCCCCCAAATCCCCCCCAAATAACCCCAAATCCCCCCCAGGACCCCCAATTTCCCCCAGGACCCCCCAATCCCCCCCAGCCCCCTGACCATGGGGCAGAGGCACTCCCGGGCCAGGGTCATACTGAAGGTTGCCATGGTAACGGGGCGGAACCCCAAAATTTTGGGGTAAAACTCCAGCGGGGACAAAGTCTGGGGGGGAAAAGGGGGGTCAGGGGGGTCTGGGGGGATTTTGGGTTTTTTTGGGGGGATTTTTGGGGGCTTTTGAGTGGATTTTAGGGGGGTTTTGGGGGGAATTTTGTTTTTTGGGGGGATTTTGGGGTTTTTCGGGAGGGATTTTGGGGTTTTGGGGGGATTTTGGGGAGGGATTTTAGGGATTTTGGGGAATTTCAGGTTTTATGAGGGGGGATTTTGGGTTTTTTCAGGAGGGATTTTGGGGTTCTCGGGGGGATTTTGGGGGATTTGGGGTTTTATGAGGGGGGATTTGGGGGTTTTTGGGGGATTTTGAGTGGATTTTAGAGGGTCCCTTTGGGATGATTTGGGTTTTTTGGGGGGGTTTTGGGGGGATTTTGGGGTTTTGGGGGGGATTTTGGGGTTTTTTGGGTGAATTTGGGGTTTTTAGGGGAAATCTGGGATTTTTTTAGGGGCATTTTGGGGGCATTCGGGGTTTTATGAGAGGGGGATTTTGGGGTATTTTTGGGGTATTTTTTTGGGATTTTTTGGGGATTTTGTGTCATTTTTGGGGTCTCTCAACCCCGAGATGACGATGAGGGGATTTTTTGGGGATTTTTGGGGTGATTTTAGGGTAATTTTGCGGGATTTTTTGGGGGGATTTTGGGGTAATTTTGAGGGATTTTTTGGGGTGATTTTGGGGTAATTTTGGGGGATTTTTTGGGGATTTTTGGGGTGATTTTGGGGCATTTTTGGGGTCTCACCCCCGAGGTGATGATGACTGACTGGAAGCGCTCGAACACCGGCCGGATGGCGATGGAGGCGTCCAGGCAGCTGGGGGGACCCCAAAAATCCCCTTAAAATCCCCCAAAAAACCCCAAAAATCCCCTGAAAAAAAAACCCCAAAATCCCTCAGAATACCCCCAAAAATCCCCTCATAATACCCCCAAAAAAATCCCCCAAAAATCCCCTCAGAATCCCCCAAAAAACCCCCAAAAATCCCCTCAGAATCCCCCCAAAAATCCCCTCAGAATCCCCCAAAAAAACCCCAAAAAATCCCCTCAGAATCCCCCCTAAAAAAACCCCAAAAATCCCCCCAAAAAACTCCCAAACCCCCCTCAAAACCCAACAAAACCCCAAAATTCTCCAATCCCCCCAAAAACCCCAAATCGCCCTCCAAAAAAACCCCAAAATATTTCCAAAAAAAACCCCAATTCCCCCCAAAAACCCCAAAAATCCCCCTTAAAAAACCAAAAATCCCCCCCAAAACCCCCAAAATCGCCCCCAAAACCTCCCCCAAAAAACTCCCAACCCCCTCTCAAAACCTAAAAAAACCCCAAAAATCCCCAAATCACCCCAAAAATCCCCAAAATCTCCCCAAAAACCTGAAGTGCAGGACGGGGTTGGAGACGCTCGGGGTGCGATCGTCGAAGGGCTCGATGATGATGGTGAAACCTGCGCGAAATTGGGAATTTTTGGGCAATTTTGGGGTTTTCTGGGGAAATTTTGGGGATTTTTGGGGTTTTGGGGGTTTATGGGGGAAGATTTGGGGGAATTTGGGGTTTTTTGGGGGAGATTTTGGTGTTTTGCGGGAGGGATTTTGGGGTTTTTTGGGGGAATTTTGAGTTTTTTGAGGTTTCTTTGGGGAAGATTTTGAGTTTTTGGAGGGAGTTTTGGGGATTTTAGGGAGGATTTTGAGGTTTTTTGGGAGATTTTGGGGTTTTGGGGGGGATTTTGGGTTTCTTTTGGGGAATTCTGGGGTTTTTTGCGGGTTTGGAGGAGATTTGGGAGAACTTTGGGGTTTTGGAGGGAAATTTGGGGGTTTTGGGAGGAATTTTGGGGTTTTTGGGCTGGATTTTGAGGGGTTTTTGGGGGAATTTTGGGGTTTCTGGGGTTTGGGGGGGGATTTGGGGTTTTTACGGGTATTTTTTGGGTATTTTTGGGGTTTTTTTGCCCACCTTTGCTGTAGGTGCTGACCAGGGTTCAGGTGTATTTTTGGGATACTTTTGAAGTATTTTTGGTGTATTTTTTGGGTACTTTTGGGGTATTTTTGGGGATATTTTTGGTATATTTTTCGAGTTTTTTTCCCCCACCTTTGCTGTAGGTGCTGACCAGGATTATGGGTTATTTTTTGGGTATTTTTGGGGTATTTTTGGGGTTTTTTTGCCCACCTTTGCTGTAGGTGCTGACCAGGGTTCAGGTGTATTTTTGGGATATTTTTGGGGTATTTTTTGGGTATTTTTGGGGATATTTTTGGGTTATTTTTGGGATTTTTTGCCCACCTTTGCTGTAGGTGCTGACCAGGATTATGGGTTATTTTTTGGGTATTTTTGGGTTATTTTTGGGGATATTTTTGGGGTTTTTTGCCCACCTTTGCTGCAGGTGCTGACCAGGATTATGGGTTATTTTTTGGGTATTTTTGGTGTATTTTTTGGGATATTTTTGGGTATTTTTGGGGTTTTTTGCCCACCTTTGCTGTAGGTGCTGACCAGGGTTCAGGTGTATTTTTTGGGTATTTTTGGTGTATTTTTGGGGTTTTTTGCCCACCTTTGCTGTAGGTGCTGACCAGGGTTCAGGTGTATTTTTTGGGATATTTTTGGTGTATTTTTGGGTATTTTTGGTGTATTTTGGGGTTTTTTGCCCACCTTTGCTGTAGGTGCTGACCAGGATTATGGGTTATTTTTTGGGTATTTTTGGGGATATTTTTGGGGTTTTTTGGGGGGTTTTTTGCCCACCTTTGCTGTAGGTGCTGACCAGGGTTCAGGTGTATTTTTGGGATATTTTTTGGGTATTTTTGGGGTATTTTTGGGGTTTTTTGCCCACCTTTGCTGTAGGTGCTGACCAGGATTATGGGTTATTTTTGGGGTATTTTTTTGGGTATTTTTGGTGTATTTTTGGTGTATTTTGGGGATATTTTTGGGGGTTTTTGCCCACCTTTGCTGTAGGTGCTGACCAGGGTTCAGGTGTATTTTTGGGATATTTTTGGGGTATTTTTTGGGTATTTTGGGTGTATTTTTGGGGTTTTTTGGGGGTTTTTTTGCCCACCTTTGCTGTAGGTGCTGACCAGGGTGGCGAAATTGGCCACGAGGGTGATCGGGGAGAAGTCGGCGACGTCGGGGAGGGCGAGAGTGCGGAGCAGCGAGTGCAGCCGCTCGGCACAGAACCTGGGGAGCAAATTTGGGGTTCAGGGACCCCAAAATCCGCCTCAGGGACCCCAAAAACCCCAAAAACCACCCCAAAAACCCCAAAAACCACCCCAAAACCCCCATGGGGAGAGTGCGGAGCAGCGAGTGCAGCCGCTCGGCACAGAACCTGGGGAGACAAATTTGGGGTTCAGGGACCCCAAAAACCTCCTCAGGGACCCCAAAAACCCCAAAAACCACCCCAGAAACCCAAAAAAACACCCCAAAAACCCCAAAAATGCCCCAAAAATGCCCCAAAACCACCCCAAAACCCCCATGGGGAGAGTGCGGAGCAGCGAGTGCAGCCGCTCGGCACAGAACCTGGGGAGCAAATTTGGGGTTCAGGGACCCCAAAAACCGCCTCAGGGACCCCAAAAACCCCAAAAAACCACCCCAGAAACCCCAAAAACTGCCCCAAAAACCCCAAAACCACCCCAAAACCGCCCCAAAACCCCCATGGGGAGGGCGCTGAGCAGCGAGTGCAGCCACTCGGCACAGAACCTGGGGAGACAAATTTGGGGTTCAGGGACCCCAAAAACCTCCTCAGGGACCCCAAAAACCCCAAAAATCCACCCCAAAACCACCCCAGAAACCCCAAAAATGCCCCAAAACCACCCCAAAACCCCCATGGGGAGAGTGCGGAGCAGCGAGTGCAGCCGCTCGGCACAGAACCTGGGGAGCAAATTTGGGGTTCAGGGACCCCAAAAACATCAAAACCACCCCAAAAACCCCAAAAACCCCATCCAGAAAACCCCAAAAACCCCCAAAATCACCCCAGAAACCCAAAAAACCACCCCAGAAACCCCAAAAATGCCCCAAAAACCACCCCAAAACCCCTATGGGGAGGGTGCGGAGCAGCGAGTGCAGCCGCTCGGCACAGAACCTGGGCAGCAAATTTGGGGTTCAGGGACCCCAAAAACCTCCTCAGGAACCTCAAAAAACCCAAAAAACCACCCCAGAAACCCCAAAAATGCCCCAAAACCCCAAAAAACTCCCCCAAAACCTCCAAAATTTGGTTCTTTTGGGGTGCCAATCCCATTTTTTTGGGTGCAGATCCTATTTTTTCGGGGCTTTTAGGGGTGCAGATCCCATTTTTGGGGTCACAGACCCATTTTTTGGGGTCCCAAACCCGTTTTTTGGGGTCCCAGACCCGTTTTTTGGGGTTTTGGGGGTTCCAGACCTGAGGGGTTTGCGGTCGATGCAGACGTGGTCCCGCAGCTCCCGCAGGAACCCGGGGGCTTTTAGGGGATTTTTGGGGTGCAGATCCCATTTTTTGGGGTCCCAAACCCATTTTTGGGGGTCCCAGACCCATTTTTTGGGGTTTTTGGGGGTCCCAGACCTGAGGGGTTTGCGGTCGATGCAGACACGCTCCCGCAGCTCCCGCAGGAACCTGGGGGGCTTTTAGGGGATTTTTGGGGTGCAGATCCCATTTTTGGGGGTCCCAGACCCGTTTTTGGGGTGCCAGACCTGAGGGGTTTGCGGTCGATGCAGACGCGGTCCCGCAGGAACCCGGGGGGGGTTTTAGGGGATTTTTGGGGTCCCAATCCCATTTTTGGGGGTCCCAAACCCATTTTTGGGGTCGCAAACCCATTTTTGGGGGTGCAGAACCCATTTTTGGGGGTCCCAAACCCGCTTTTTGGGGTGCAGAACCCATTTTTGCGGGTTCCAGACCTGAGGGGTTTGCGGTCGATGCAGACGCGCTCCCGCAGGAACCCAGGGGGCTTTTAGGGGATTTTTGGGGTGCAGATCCCATTTTTGGGGGTCCCAGACCCATTTTTTGGGGTCCCAAACCCATTTTTGCGGGTTCCAGACCTGAGGGGTTTGCGGTCGATGCAGACGCGCTCCCGCAGGAACGCCGGGGGGCTTTTAGGGGATTTTTGGGGTCCTGATCCCATTTTTTGGGGTCCCAAACCCATTTTTGGGGTTTTTGGGGGTTCCAGACCTGAGGGGTTTGCGGTCGATGCAGACGCGGTCCCGCAGCTCCCGCAGGAACGCCGGGGGGCTTTTAGGGGATTTTTGGGGTCCCAAACCCATTTTTGGGGGTCCCAGACCCGTTTTTTGGGGTGCAGAACCCATTTTTTGGGGTTCCAGACCTGAGGGGTTTGCGGTCGATGCAGACGCGCTCCCGCAGCTCCCGCAGGAACGCCGGGGGGCTGAGCTGCTGCACGCGCGGCCCCCGGAGCTGCGCCCGAAGGTGCTCCACCAGCCGGCGCAGGAACCCCACAAAGTGCTCGGCCGTGCGGATGCTGCCCGGGACCGCCTCTGGAATGGGGCAAAAACAGGAAAAAACGGGAAAAATGTGAAAAAATGGGAAAAATGTGAAAAAAACGGGGTTAAAATGGGGAAAAACGAGGTAAGAAACACCCCAAAAACAGCAAAACCGCCCCAAACCCCACAAAGTGCTCGGCCGTGCGGATGCTGCCCGGGACGGCCTCTGGAATGGGGGAAAAACGGGAAAAAATGGGAAAAATGGGAAAAAATGGGGTTAAAATAGGGAAAAATGGGGAAAAATGGGGAAAAAATAGTGGAAAATGGGGAAAAAAGGGGGGAAAATAGAGGAAAATGGGGAAAAAAGGGGGGAAATAGAGGAAAATGGGGGGAAATGGGGGAAAATGGGGAAAAATGGGGTCAGAGACACCCCAAACCCATCCCAATAACTTTGGGGGTTCCCCTGATCCCGGTGGGTCCCGGTGGATCCCAGACCCCAAAATCCTCCCTGGGCTGAACTTGGGGCGACCCTGAGGGGGTTTGGGGTGGATCCCGAGGGTTTGGGGTGGATCCTGAGGGTTTTGGGGTTGCTGTGATCCCGGTGGATCCTGGTGGATCCCAGACCCCAAAATCCTCCCTGGGCTGAACCTGGGGGGAATCCTGAGGGGGTTTGGGGTGGATCCCGAGGGGTTTGGGGGTTTCCTGTGAACCCGGTGGATCCCAGCGGATCCCGGTGGGTCCCAGACCCCAAAATCCTCCCTGGGCTGAACTCGGGGGGACCCTGAGGGGGTTTGGGGTGGATCCCGAGGTTTGGGGTTTCCTGCGATCCCGGTGGATCCCGGTGATCCCAGTGGATCCCGGTGACCCCGGGGATCCCGTACCGCGCAGGATCTGGTCGGGCAGCACGGGGTTGGCCAGCAGCAGGTCGCAGTCGCGGGCGGCGCCGGCCTCGCGCAGCCCCTGCACCAAGCGCCGGTACTCGTCAGCCAGGCGCCGGGAATCCTCCTCCTTCAGCCTGGGGGCGCCCCAAAAACACCCCTGGGATCCTAAATCATACCTGGGATCCTAAACCCATCCCTGAGATCCCCCTGGGATCCCAAATCTGCCCCTGGGATCCTAAATCCCATCCCTGAGATCCCAAATCCCATCCCTGAGATCATAAATCCTATCCCTGAGATCCCAAATGTGCCCCTGGGATCATAAATCCCATCCCTGAGATCCCCCTGAGATCCCAAATCTGCCCCTGGGATCATAAATCCCATCCCTGGGATCCCAAATCATACCTGGGATCATAAATCCCACCCCTGAGATCCCAAATCCCACCCCTGGGATCATAAATCCCATCCCTGGGATCATAAATCCCATCCCAAAAACACCCCTGGGATCCTAAACCCACCCCTGGGATCCCAAATCCCATCCCAAAAAACATCCCCCGATCCCAAATCATCCCTGGGATCACAAATCCTATCCCAAAAACATCCCCCTGGGATCCCAAATCATCCCTGGGATCATAAATCCTATCCCAAAAACAGCCCTGAGATCCCAAATCTGCTCCTGAGATCCCAAATCCCATCCCTGGGATCATAAATCCCATCCCTGAGATCCCAAATCCCATCACTGAGATCCCCCTGAGATCCCAAATCTGCCCCTGGGATCCTAATCCCATCCCTGGGATCCTAAACCCACCCCTGGGATCCCAAATCTCATCCCTGAGATCCCAAATCATCCCTGGGATCATAAATCCCATCCCTGAGATCCCAAATCATCCCTAAGATCCCAAATCCATCCCAACCCCAAACCCCAACCCCTGACCCCAAACCTGACCCCAAACCTTGACCAAAAACCCGACCCCTGACCGCAAACCCCAAAACCCCAAACCTTGACCCCTGACCCCAACTCCTGACCCCAAACCCCAAATCCCAAATCCCAAACCGTGACCCCAAACCCCAACCCCTGACCCCAAACCCTGACCCCAAACCCCAACCCCTGACCCCAAACCTTGACCCCAAACCCCAAACCTTGACCCAAAACCAAACCCCAAACCCCAAACCTTGACCCAAAACCCAACCCCTGACCCCAAACCCCCAAACCCAACCCCAAACCCAAACCTGACCCCAAACCGTGCCCCCTGACCCCTGACCCCTGACCCCTGACCTCTGGACGTGGCCCTGCAGCGCTCCCACGTTGGCCTGGCAGCGGTCGAGCGTCCGGCGGGTGATGGTCACTCCCATGGCCTCGATGCAGACGTTGTCTGAGGGGTTTGGGGTCAGGAACACCCCAAAACAACCCCAAAAATGGCCCAAATCCACCCAAAATATATCCCAAAAAAACACCAAACAAAAACCCCAAAAACCCCACCAAAAACACCACTAAAACACCGCAAAATACCCCAAAATTCCACCAAAATCCCTAAAAATAACCCCAAATTACCACCAAAAATAACCCCAAAAATGGCCCAAATCCACCCAAAATACATCCCAAAAAATACCAAACAAAAACCCCAAAAACCCCACCAAAAACACCACAAAATACCACAAAATCACCCCAAAATTCCACCAAAATCCCTAAAAATAACCCCAAAAATGGCCCAAATCCACACAAAATATATCCCAAAAAACACCAAAAAAAACCCAAAAAAAACCCCACCAAAAACACCACAAAATCACCCCAAAATTCCACCAAAATCCCTAAAAATAACCCCAAAAATGGCCCAAATCCACACAAAATATATCCCAAAAAAAACACAAAAATTTTGGGGGTTTTGGGGTTCAGGTTTTGGGGTTTTGGGATTTTTGGGGTTTGGGGTGGGTTTTTGGGGGTCAGGTTTTGGGATTTTTGGGATTTTGGGGTGGGTTTTTTGGGTTGAATATTTTGGGATTTTTGGGGTGGGTTTTTGGGGTTCAGGTTTTGGGATTTTTGGGATTATTGGGGTGTGTTTTTGGGGTTCAGATTTTGGGATTTTTGGGCTGTGTTTTTGGGGTTCAGGTTTGGGATTTTCGGGGTTTTTGGGGTTGAATATTTTGGGATTTTTGGGGTGGGTTTTTTGGGGTCAGATTTTGGGATTTTTGGGGTGTGTTTTTGGGGTTGAATATTTTGGGATTTTTGGGATTTGGGGTGGGTTTTTAGGGATGAATATTTTGTGGGTTTTGGGGTTCAGGTTTTGGGATTTTTGGGGTTTTGGGGTGGGTTTTTGGGGTTCAGGTTTTGGGATTATTGGGGTGGGTTTTTGGGGTTCAATGTTTTGGGATTTTTGGAGGTTTTGGGGTCGGGTTTTTAGGGTTGAATATTTTGGGATTTTTGGGGTGTGTTTTTGGGGTTCAGATTTTGGGATTTTTGGGGTTTGGGGTGGGTTTTTGGGGATGAATATTTTGGGGGTTTTGGGGTTAAGGTTTTGGGATTTTTGGGGTGGGTTTTTGGGGTGTGTTTTTGGGGTTCAGGTTTTGGGATTTTTGGGATTTGGGGTGGGTTTTTGGGGATGAATATTTTGGGGGTTTTGGGGTTCAGGTTTTGGGATTTTTGGGTTTTTGGGGTGTGTTTTTCGGGTTCAGGTTTTGGGATTATTGGGGTGTGTTTTTGGGGTTCAGATTTTGGGATT